CCATTTGCTGACATTTGTGAATAGATATGAATATGATCAAGGAAATTTCTCTATATTAGGATAGAGAGTCTTCTAGGTACATGCCAAAGAATGGTATAGCTATATTATATGGTAGACCAATATTGATTGCTATAGTATCTGCACTAGTTTTCATTCCCTCAGTGAACAAGTGTTCCTTTTCTCATATCTATATCACCACTTACTGTCACTGGTTTTGTCTTTAATATAAAATCTCACTGTGCTTTTAATCTATGTCTGTGTGATAGAGTTTAAAATGCTGATCATTTAAAAATATTTCTCAACCATTTATATTTCACCTTTTGAGAACTTTGTTTCATTCCTTTCTCTAATCTTCATTGGTTATTTGTTTTTGTCTAAGTTACTTTCCAGTTGCTGAGAAGGAACACCATGACCAAGGCAAGTTTTAAAACAAAGTTTTTATTGGGGACTTAAAATTTCAGTGGTAAGTCCATGACCATCACGGCGGGGAACATGGCAGCAAGCAGGCAGGCATGGTGCTGAAGCAGTGGATGTGAGCTTACATCTTGACCCACAAGAAGGAGGCTGAGAAAGCTAAGAATGTTGTGGACTTTTGAATCCTCAAAGCCCACCCCAGCAGGACACCTCCTCCTAACAGGTGTAATACCTCCTAATCCTTCCCAAGTAGTTGTGCCAAGCAATCAAATATATGAACCAATGAGGCTACTTTTAGTCTAATCATTGGAGTATATTTTTTTACCTTTAGGCTTTAAAATCTTTTTATATCTAGATGTAGCATGTTTATTGGATATATTTTACTCCCATCTGGTAAGCTTCTCATCACTCAAGTGATTGCACCCTTTACTACACAGAACCCTTTTCGTTTCATAAGTTCTGTTTCTCAATCAATGGTTTTAAGACCTGGACTACTAGAATCCTGCTCAGCCCAAGAGGCCTTTCTGGTGCCTCCAAGTTCACATATCATCCCCACTTTCTCTTCTTTCCAATTCAGAGTATCAGATCTTCTTATGTTGAGGGTCTTAATCTATTTGGAGTTGAGTTTTGTGGCAGATGAGAGATGGAGATCAATTTGAATATTTGTTTATGGTAGATATTTATTTTTTTCCTGCAATATATATTGTTGGCCTCTGTCAAAAATGGGGTGGTTGTGGTTATGTTAATTTATATATGGTCCTCAGTTCAAACGTTTATCAATATGTATGTTCTGCTTTTATGCCAGTGCCATGCTGCTTTTAGTTCTATACCTTTGCAGAATAACTTGGAATCAGGTAGCATAACGCTTTCAGCACTGCTTTTATTATTCACAGTTGCTTTGGCTATTCTGTGACTTCGTGTTTCCATATAAAATTCAAGATTGGTTTATTTCTCATTTTGAATGGCACTGCACTGAGGCTGTGGAATGCTTTTAGTAGGAAGGCTATTTACATAATACTAGTTGTGGTAAACCATGAACATGCATGGTCTTTCCATTTTCTGGAGTCTTCATTACTTTCTGCTGTGTCGTAACATTTCCTTACACAAGTACTTAGCTCCTTTGGTTGTATCTATTCCAAATTATTTTTGAAGCTATTATTTACGAGATTATTACCCTTACTTCTTTCTCAGTATGTTTGTTGTTAGAATATTGGAAGGATATTTGTTTTTGTATTAAATTTGTATTCTACTATTTTGTTGAATGTGTTCTATCAGTTGTGTTTTTTTATTGAGTCTTTAGCTTTTAGTTTCTTATGTGTAAAATCATACCATCTACAAATAAAATTATTTTGATTTTTTATTTTTCTGTTTGTATCTCCTTGATCTCCTGCAGCTGTCTTATTGCGCTAGGTAAGATTTCAAGTGCTACATTGAAAAGGAGTAGAGAGAGTGGATATATTTAGCTTGTTCCTGATTCTAATAGAAATGCTTTCAATTTTTCCATGTGTTCATGTATATTATGTTGGCTGTGTGTATGTGTGAGTGTGAACACACATGTCCTGCAGCACAATTGTGGAGGTCAAACACAGAAACACCCAGAGGCATTGCTCATCTTTCCAAGTTTTTAAACACAGGATCTCTTTGTTACTTAGTGCTACCTGTGGCACTGGTTCAGGAATATCCAAAGATTCTCAGCGTTATATCTCATCCTAGGACCACTAAGACTATGGATGCTTGCTACAAGGTCCATTTTCACATAGGTTTAGGGTATTCAAACTCAGGATCTCACACTTGCCCAGCGACCCATTTATCTATGGGGCAACCTTCTCAGCTCTTGTTTTCTCTCCTGAAAAGATCGCTGGTCAGTTTAAATCAGGACCCAGGCTAAAGATTTCATTTTATCTTATCACCTACCTACAGGTCTCTCTATAAATACTCTCCTATGTTGAGATGCTGATGTAATCCAAGTCCTAGACCAGAGCTCTGATTCTAGACACTCGGTATGTCTGACCTATTCATTCACCACATGAAAGCACATAAAACTGACCATTAAAAGGCAGGGAAACTGGAGAGATAGCTCAGTGGTTAAGAGCACTGACTGCTCTTCCAGAGGTCCTGAGTTCAATTCCCAGCAACCATATGGTGGCTCACAACAATCTGTAATGGGACCTGATGCCCTCTTCTGGTGTGTCTGAAGACAGCTACAGTGTACTCATATACATAAAAAAATCTTTAAGAAAGAAAAAGGCAGAGAAACCAGTTAATTAGAATGGATATTTGGGGAAATGGAAATTACTAATTAAAAATTTCAAACTTTCTTTGGGATGATGACATGAATTTTAGGTTTAACTGGGGAAGACATGTTTCTAGGATGAATTTGCATAATTAAGCAATTATGACTGATGAGAGAAGACGAGTGAGAGATGTGTCAACTAAGACAAGAACACAAGACAGCTGGAGACATTGTGTGTTTTTGCTTTCTTGGTACAAGCATCTACACTTGGAAAGACCACCGGATTTGTACCCATGCAATCTAGATTTGAGTCAAAGTCCCATGAGCTTTGTTATTGATGTTCTTTTGTGCTTGTGTTTTCATATTAAGTATGACTTGCACTGAGTCAATGTGGACTAACCATTTGTGAACTTACTTCTGATTCTAAAAGATAGCCCTAGAAATTTTCATACCACTTTCAGGGACAATGTCATTTCTATGATCACCTCTACTTGGAAGTGACTTTATTAAGGGTCATGTATCTGCTAATCCTGAGATCCATTATGACTGCGGGTTTAGAGCAATGAGTAGAGACATGTTTTGCAACTCTAGAATGGGATTTCCTAAGTGCCTGTTAAATGGGATTACAAGACATCCCTGTGTGCACATTTATGAAATAATTACTACTAAATAAGGGAAATTTTCACTTAATTATGAAAGCACAAATACTAAGAGAAGACCAATAATAAAACTCTTAGGATCTTTACTCAAATCTAGACTTCCTAGGTCCAGATCTGGTGGTCTCTCCAAGTGTAGACACTTGTATAGAAAAAGCAAAGACATAGGATTAATGATATTTCCACCTTCCTTGTGTTCCTGTTTCAGTTGATATGTCTCTCACTCATCTCTTTTCAATGCAGAATCAACAAAGAAACATCACCCTTCCTGAGGTTCATGGCAATTTTATGTTCCATACAGTATGTTGCCTCATAGCTTTAATGAAAAACTGATTCTGAAATAGCCATGACTGATGATAAATAAACACGGACAGGATTTTGAAAGAGGGAAGAAGATGTAATTCTGGCTATTTAGAAAGTTCAGACACAAGGACTGCTTACGTTCAGTGGTTGAACCAAAAAATAAAAGCAAAGAAGAGCTAAGCCCTAGCAGCACCTGGAATTTTACTACGTTTATTAAGATCTCAGGATGTAGAAGGACATTGTCTAGTACGAAAATCTTTCAGCTCAGTCCTTAGCACTTCCATAAACAAAGGATAATAAGCAAACTACTATTTTCCCCTTCAACACCCAAATGTGTGAACTGTGTCCCCTGATTATTTTTCTCTACACCATATAGTTCTTCTGTGCTTACCTCTTGTCTACCATACCAGAGTCACGATCACGTATTTCTCATGACTCAAAAGCATCGAAATTGTTCCTGTATCTGATGATATGTCCAGTTCTTCAGTCTCCCTGGAAATCTCTACTGACTGGTCTGTCAGCAAACTCAGGTTGCACATCCCATCCCCAGCACAGCCTGTCTTGACCAGGCAATTCAGAGTAAACACATAGTAAGTTTCTGTACCATCTCTATTACAGAGGGGACGCCACAGCACTCCTCCTGTATATTCAGATATATCTTTGTCTAATTATTCTTCATCTGATGGATTTTCTTGCTCACCTGGACCTTGCCTGGTCTCTACCTTACTGTAACCAATTAGACTTTGGAGACCACAGGTAATTAGTGCCTTCTTCACCATATTGTTTTTATTTTTAAAATCATCCAAGTTTAGGATAAATGTTCAACTTATGCTTCTTAATTTATAAATACATCATTTGCACCACTTAAAATTCTGAGACAAAGAAACAATAAAAATAATGAAGGAGAAAATGCAAAGTATGAATGAATTAGAGGGAACCTCGAATCTTCTACAAATAACTGCTTAACAGTTGTAGTTCAACTTCTTCCCAATGAAGACCTAATTTTTCCTCAACACTTATGTTTGTGTCTTCACATCCAAGATATAAAAACCCAAGTTGTTTTAGCCTGGCTGTTCCAGATGTTATCAAGTGCCTGCTCCAACTTACTAGGATCCGAGGAAAATCATTGGCCTCCCTGAAGAATAAAGTAAGAAGAAACCAGAAATCAAAATGAGAGGGTCATGCCACATACTTCCGCCCTTTTCAAAACCAGAAAACCACCCCAAACAAAATCTCCTGTGCTTAATTGAAATTTATTTAATGAATATGTAAATGGTTGGGCGACAGTTTTCTTTGTCATTTGCATTTTATTGCAATAATGGATTCTTCTTTCTATCCTTTATGTATCAAACATGGGTCCATACTAGGACTCGTTATGCAGATCAAAACATCTTCTACTTAAGTGAACAGTTTTTCTTCAAAGTCTTCCTCAGTGCAATTTGAACATCTTTATTCCTCAAGCTGTAGATGAAGGGATTCATCATGGGAACCACCACAGTGTAAAACACTGTGGATATCTTATCATGATCCACGGACCCAACAGGAGAAGACTTAAAGTAGATGAATGATGATGACCCAAAAAACAGAGAAACCGCAATCATGTGGGAGCTGCAGGTGCTGAGGGCTTTGGACCTGCCCTTTGTAGAATGGATGCGGAGGATATTGGAGAGGATCAAGGTATAAGAAACAAAGACGGTGAGACTGGGAACTATTATACTGACACCCACAACAATGAAAACCACCAGCTCATTGATGGAGGTGCTTGTGCAGGAGAGCTTCAGGAGAGGGGGTATGTCACACATGTAGTGATTGATGATGTTACCATCACAGAAAGTCAGTCTCAGCATACACAATGTGTGGGCTATGGCACCCACAAACCCTACTGTGTACCCACCCACCATCAGCACAAAGCAGACCTGATGGGACATGATGACTTTATAAAGCATGGGCTTACAGATGGCAGCATATCTGTCATAGGCCATTGCTGTCAAAATACAACATTCATCAATAACAAAGAAGGCAAAGAAAAAGAGCTGAGTCATGCACTCAGCGTGAGAGATGATGTTCTGCGTCACAAAATTCACCAGCATTCTGGGGGTGATGACAGAGGAGTAGCAGAGATCTGTGAAGGAAAGGTTGAAGAGAAAGTAGTACATGGGGGTGTGCAGGTGAGGGTTCAACACAATCAGAACAATCAAGCCCAGGTTCCCCACCACAGAGACCACATAGATTCCCAAGAAGAGGAAGAAGAGGGGCAGCTGGATCTCTGGCTGTTGTGTCAAGCCCAGCAGGATGAACTCCTTCACAGGAGAATTGTTTTCTGAGACCACTCCTTGGGTCATAGCTGTGAGAATAGGGAAAATGGGGTCATTGAGATAATATCCCAGCTGTCACAAGCAAACCCACGTGTGATGGGACTGGGGGCCAGACTCTCCATTAGAATAGATGAATTCTAGTCCAATAGAAGAGATGAATTCTGGTCCTACATGTTTGGCCCTTGCGTTGGTCTACATTACACATACACCATTGAGAGGATGTACAAGCGTGAATATGAAAACACGGAAAACATTTGATTCAGCGTGCTACCGACCACTCTCTTGCTCTGCAGAATCTCTGCTCCACTTTCTCTGCTTCATTTCTGCCTTGACAGACTACCTCCCTCCTCAGCTCAGTCAAGGTCTCAGAGGACAGGAGATGAAGCCCATGAAAGGCCCCCTGGCTCCCTTAAATGAGGTTTCTAATAGCAGGGCTTCTTACATACAATTGAACACTCACCATTTTACATCCCCACCAAGAAAGGAAAAAGTTAACTCTTCTGCCCTATTTTCATGCAAGGCCAATAGCTTCAACTAACTTTAGGGAATAACCATGCAGGGGGGAAAGAGACCTGTTCAATGCTTGTTTTTTTCTGCTTCAGCCTTCACTCCTCCCAGCTCTAAGAACCTGAGCTGTAGATTGTGATTTCTAATGTGGTTTTGCCCAGAATACCTTCTCCAACCCTAAATTAGTTAGTAGCACCTACTAATATCAAAAGAGCCACTTGATAATATGACCCAAGAGCCTTGATGACTTGGATAATCCTTGGGACCTGATTAAAACTTGGAAGGCCTATGCTCCCCCAGGGTTTTCTCTGAACATCAGGCTTTGAAGTTAAGCGAAATTCAGTGCCCTGCATGTACACTAATGGCAGTGGCTTATGAGAATGGCACAATGCTATGTGTATTTGGGCACATCACAAGTCATAAAAATCAAGATGACCTTATCTTCAGTATCTTCTCCTATAAAACTCCTTGCAGTACTATAAAACATTTTAAGTTTATTGGCATGAAGTTTGCTCATCCTGACTCCTTTTTTAGCTTACCAAAGCCCAATATGTTCTAATGCAGGGAAGTTAATGGAAATTTAAGATTTATAGTATTATATATTATCATAAAGTGAAGAAAAAGAAAAATGTGTTTAGCAGGGTGGATTTTCTTTGTTTTCCAAAACAAAATTTTTCTAGCTTTTTTTTTCAGATGCTAATATAGTTACATTTATTTTTCCCTTTCTTCCCTACCATACGTCCTTCCCCACTCTCCTTCAAATTCATGCATCTTTTTTTCATTAATTGTATTGCATGAATATACATATACACATAAACTGTTCTACCTGTATAATGTTATTTATATGTGTGTTTTCAGTACTAACCTCCAATAAATGCCCCGAAAATTTGACAAGTATATTTCAAATAAACTCTACATGACTATATATAAACTATATATAAACAAATAAACTATGTAAATAAATAAATCATATAGCTATGACTGTTAGCTAAAGATTATGGTTTTTAAAATAAATTAAAACATTAATCTTATGCAAATGACTACTACTAGCTATTTACTTAAAAACAAATCTGTTTTAAATGTTTATTCAAGTCACTGAACACTACCAGAACCACAACAGGACCTTATGTTTCATTCAATAGCAATGCCTTTGTTGCTTCTGTCCCCATTCCTTCCTTGCCATCAATATGCTCTCCGTTTCTAGATACAGTCATTCAGAAAAGCTGCATAAATAGAAGCATGCAAGATCTAAGCTACTCTGTGAATGTTATCTCTTAGGATTGCAGAACTTCTTCCTACTTTGTGCTGTTTGTGGGTTTGGGCGCAATTCCCTGAAGCTGTCAAGGTTGTAGATCTTCTCCCAAACCAAAATAGTCACTCCTATTGCTATGAACAGGTGACATCTAGATGATCCTGTATGTGTAGGCTTTGCACAGCCATGTGTGTGACCATAGGAGGGCATGGAGATAGAATATAAATCACAAGGACACTCATTTGCTAGTTTGAAGAAAGCATGGGCTTCAAGGTTCATAGGTGGAACCTTTATGCTATCCATGAACCAGTTAGCAAGATTGCGTCACCATGCTGAGTTCCACTCTCTGGTTTCTGTGAGCCTCAGCTTTCTCTCCTTCTCTTAGCTGCTACAGAATAATGGCCCTGTTGATCTCCTCAGTGTTCTGGTTGGAATGAGATCAAAGTGGGCCTCCCGGGAATCATTCTGGAAGGTAGAAGAGCAAGAAACTCAATTTGTTGTGACTTGCTCACATGGGGAGCGCAGAAACCAGGCACTGGGGAAGGTGTGATACTGATGAAGGGACCCTCTCTCTTCCCTGTGTTCACTCTCGTATGTTTTACTCCAAATTCCCATGAAATGATTAATGTCTACACATTCTCTAGAATCAGTCATTCTAAGAGGAATGAGGGTTTTTCTATCTGGTATCATCTCTTTTATTCAAATTTACAGCTGCCTAATTTAGCTATATGCTCATGCTAGTATTTGGAATAATCTCTGATTTGTGTTTTAGATGTTAGTGTTTATGGAATTGGTATGGACCACAATATTTGTACATGTATCTTACTGAAATAAACAACAAAGATACATTTGGGTGGTAGAGGGGAAAACTAAGGAGACACTCCATAACACCAGTGAACAGCCAGTAAATTAACTTGATTAGTAAAATATTGAAATTCCAGAAAAGAATTGAGAAGAGTGTATGCTTTCCAGACTTCAATGCATTCTTTAAATTTGGGCAAAAACTGTGTAATACCTCATCTCTATAGATTAGCAAGTCAAGTAACCAGGAGACATTACAATTTTCCTTAAAACATCTAACGCATTCAGATGGATTAATTAAAGTAGGAATAAGAAGATAAAAGAGAAAGAAATAATTCAACTTATTATATTCATATTGGATTTATGTATGGTGGGGGCACGTGTGTGGTACGTGTCATGCGTGTAGTTCAAAGGACAACTTCCAGTAGTTGTTTCTCTCACTACCCCACAAGAGGTTGACCTCAAGTCATCAAGCCTGGCAAAAAGCACCTTTACCTGATGAACCCCTTTGTAAACAGATAGTGATGATACTCATCCCCTGTCACATGCATGCTCCATTTTGTCCTGAGATAAAATCCTGTCTCATAAAGACATTCTTTCTCAGTTTGAATGTAGACATGATCAAATATCATATTGAGCAATCTTTTTTGAGCCGTCTCCTGTTTCTTGTTGTTTGCTGGTTATTTTTCTCTTGATGACGTGCACAAATCCCAGAAAAGAAACAACTTAGCAGAGCATAGTTTATTTAAGTTTACAATTTGAGAAAATATAGTTCATCATGGTTAAGAAGTCATGGCGCCAGAAAGCAGAGAGCGATGAGGCTGGTGTTCAGTTTACTGTGTTCTTTTAATGTCTAAATCTACAGCCCATGGAACAGTGATGTCCTCATGTGTGGTGGAATTTCTAACCTCAGTTAACCTACTCTATCACATGGCTCATAGCCATGTCCACTTGCTTGTCTCTTTGGTGACACTAGATTCTCTCAAGTTGACAATTTGTATTAGTCATCAGTCTGCTTCTATGAGAGAAGTAGTGTGAACACTAAAATCCATAGTCTGGCTAAGGTGTTTATTTAGTAAAATCAACAGAAGTCCATGCTAGATGAGAAACCTATCATTTGGGGTTAGATAAGGAAAAGTATTTGTTCTAGGAATTTTAAGAAAGGAGAATGAGCGGGAATTAACTAGTTAGCATTTTAGCAAGAAGTGGATTTGAGATTGAGGATTAAGGGTTTACCCCACTTCTCTATCTACCTGATCCACCAGGAAAGCAAGATTAGGTGAGGCAGAGTGCACTCGTAGTGTCTATTTAACACTCTTAAGGAAGGCTTCCTCTAACTTCTGAAAATCAGAGAAAGGCTGTCTCATCACTAACTCCCTTTCCCTACCTTGGAAGCAGAAAGCTCTTCTTGCATTCACTATCCCATTTTATTTAAGGGTCAAGGTTTGGGAATCCTAGAATGTTTGGAAAATAGAAAGGATTGGCTACTAATAAAGGTTACAATATTACACACATTAGCAGGATTTATGCTTTCTGGATCTAAGGTTGGACAGCTGTCCTAGTTTCACTCAATGTTGGACTATGTCAGTAACATTTACGTCATCTATAGAGGTCATCATATGATTTCTGTACTTGCAACTATTAACACAATATATTACTTTTATTGAATTATGTGTGTCAATCCATCCTTGTGTACTTGGAATGAAGCACACTTGGTCATGGTAAGCAAATTACATGATAGGTCTTCTCTTAAGTTCTGATTATCTTGTCTTACTTGTACTTTCTATTGGTGTGTCGGTTCCCTGGGATTTTATTTGTCCTAATGATTTTATTACTAAAATTTCATTTTTAGTAGTTCTGTCTTAAAATTAATCTCCATTACTTTTAGTATATTTTAAACTAACTCTTTAGAAACAGAAGCATCTGTTTTTCTTTTCACATGTCATTGTCTGAGCCTGAGTAAGTCAGGACAGCAAAGCAAAGACAGTCCAAAGGATCTTTGAGGAAAGTAGATATTCTGCCAAGCAATTTTAAAACCTTACACTGTCTAAGATTATAAATCTGTTTATTCCTCAGCCTCATAAATCTTATTTCAAGTTTAGAGCTGAAGTAGGTGAAAAACAGTCCCAGTCTACTCAAATACATAAATTTTATAGTTTACAGGAATTATTTTATAGTTTACAGGATAAATATTCTGAGAATAATAAATCAAAATGTTTAAACACCCTCCTCAATATAAGCATTTATTATGCTTTTTATTTCAAATATTTATCTGGGTGAGAGAGACAGGCTACCAATATAAGTCTTGTAATCATTATGTCAAGGTGATAGTATAAGCCAAGTGTACACACAATCTCATAATTTAGTGGGCTGAGCCAGAAGCATCATAGGTTTGAAAACAGGCTGGACCATATAGCAAGGCTTTGTGTCAAAACGAATGTCATGAAATTTCATTGTACTATGTCCAAGTGGATAATGCCACACTCATATACATGATGGTGGCACTAATAGAACTCAGTGGGTTACACATGGAACACATAAAAGAGGGGTTGGGAGGGAGAAGTGTTTAGGGAACCTTGGGAGGATTTAAAGGGATTTGGGATAATGACACACCGTATACCTTAGTGAAATTTTCCCAGGAAAAAGTTTATAGCTGTTTTAGAAATAGAAGCATCCCTCTGATGCTTGGCAACTGCAAGATCCTGCTTAGCAACTGCAGATAGACTCAAAGCAGTGTACCATATCATCTTAAGAATAGCAGGGAGACCATAACTCAAGCAGTGTACCATATCTTCTGAAGAACAGCAGGTAGATCATAATTCAAGGCAGTGTACCGTATAGACCATGACATGTTTCAAGGCACAGGCCAAGAAGATTTTGTACTTTTCTACCACCTGGCCCCTCTTACCCCCTCCCCTTCTAAAACATGCTATAAAAAAGCATTTCATGTTCATAAATAAATAAATAAATAAATAAATAAATTATTTTAAAAAAAAAGAAATAGAAGCATCTGTTTTTCTCTTTATATGTCATTGTCTGAGCCTGAGTAAGTCAGGACAGCAAAGCAAAGACAGTCCAAAGCCTCTGAAGTTGGAGCAGAACTGCTAATGA